ATTCATAATTGGAAGGGTTAATAAATGCAGGCAACGTGTCAACAACAGGTAATTCCAAAGAGTTCAATTTTTCTTCCCCTATACATCTACAGAAGATAAACAACTGTACACAATCGTTTATTTAATTCACATTTCATCTGAGTGCAGATTTACGTAGGAAGTGGGCTTGTTCCTGACTCAATTCCTGAGGAAGTTTAATAAATTAAAATGTTAATCTGTTCTTTCTCAACTCTGTTGAAGGCACCACAGAAGTATCTGACAGTGACAGATAAAAAATAGCAGGCTATTATGGTATCTACTACTCAGTTAGTACTAACACGCAGAGACGACTGGTCTTATCGTCTGAGTGATACCATACGGCGTAGTGTTTCCTGGCACATCCATTCTTCAGCAAGACATGCATAAAATAGAAATCAAATCTTCAGCGCCAATAGTTATAACTCTTCTAAGATTTTCATTATTTCATTATGAAGCAGCGCTCCCAGGAAGCACATCTACACAACATGGTGCCACATTTTTACTATCACTAGGTGCTCATTTACCAGCACCCAGTCACTCACATTTTAAAAGATTTTTAAAAACACCCATCAGTCTTCATTATCACAGATAGTTTCTCAAAACTGATTATAAAAGTTATTTTATATGAAGTTCTGAATGCAATAGTTCATAAATAAAGGCCAAGGAATGACAGTATCCAGCTTTCAATTCCCACTTCTTCCACTGTGCTGCTGTGTGGTCTGTGAAAGGTAGCTTCACTTCTCTGTTATTAGCTCTATTAGAAAACATTAAATAATTTCATATTCAAAATTGATAGATAACCAGTTGCATCCCTTTCTATTCAGTCTTGATCACAGAACGGCAGCTTAGTAGTCAAACTATTAATTTTTGTAACAAGACTATGTAATTAGTGACACTAAAATAGACAAATATCTGTACCAGCCCAGAAAAGGCAGCATGTAGTAGGGTTTTTTATATACTCCTTAAAAGGAGAGAAGCACAATCCTTAAGTATTTTATATCCCCAAGAACTGCATACAAAAATAGCCAGATCGACTTAAAATGGAGGTTACCAATAGTGTCTCAAAATTCCAGGTTAATAATGGAATAACAGCTTGAGCTCTGAACCTCCTTTAGTTTTGGCAGTACTGTATATATCACAACCTGTTAAAGTATTTTCTTTTTTAAGCAGAAAAAATAATGAAAATTTTAAAAATGCTTATACATTGTCTGCCAACTAGTTTGTTTTTTTTCTCTTCTAAATGCCTAATGAAGGTCACTTATTTAGTGCTTTTAAAACACATATTTTCATTTTAAATTGCAAATTTTAAAATGCAAAATGAAGTTAAATGTCAACTCTGATAATCTATAGCATAACCTAGGTGCATTGTGGCACTGGGGACAGCTCTATCTAAGCGACATACGCTTTATCTAGATGAGTCGCTATTTCTGAGCATGACTTTAAATAAATCATTTAAAATGGAACAAAAAGAGAGAGCAAAACAGAGCAGGCTCACATAGTGGCATATGACATATCGATAGATAAGACCGACAAGTCCAAATACAACTCTGAATTTCATTAACAAAGTTGCTCTTCAATGTAAACAGAAATAGCAAAAGGAGAGGAGACAAATGAAGCAGTTGAAACAGGCAGCTAAAAGGAACGTTGTAGAAAGATCTTCAGCTGATGCTGACATGTTAAAATTTATCTGCATAGCCAGGTTCAAAACCACACAGTTTGTTGTAATCACATGAAAACTTTCAACTGGATCAAGAGCTTTGTGTTTTTATTACAGGCAGTCAAAGCATTAAGCCTTATAATACGTACCACGGCACTGTGGAGTACCTGCCTGCAAGCCCAAAATTTTCTTCAAGCTTCTGTCACAGGAAATACAAAGAATTCAAAAACATTTCATTCCTAGGTGAGGGTGGGTGACAGACTCTCCTCTACAGTTATAGAGGCAATATTCTAAGGCCACTGGAAATCAGGGTAATTCAGGCATTGAATCACATCCTCAACAGCCTGAAGACAGCTTAAAAATAAAAAAGGTCAGAGGAAGACAACAGGATAAAAGAACTCAATCACATAGAGGCCACGGCAAGTCCCAAATTCCTATAAATTTAAATGAAACTGTTCTTTCTATCAAGTCATATTTAATGTGAGAATGAGGAAAAGACCTCAGCTGTAATGGCACACACTTTGATGGGATTTTTAAGATTTCGCAATAAAACTTAATTCCCACCATAAATTTAACTAATTTTTCATAGGCTTCCACATCCCTGGATATGCTCCTGCCCAGGAGGTCCACTCCCCAGCTTAAGTGCTACTGTTCCACCGGGCATGCTCGGGAAGGAAACGTGCCTCCCTGGCTAGCTGCGAAACCACAGGATTTTCAACAGGTATTTTCCCTCTCTGGATTGAGGGTTAAAGAGTATCTGTAAGGACCCATTTCACTCTTCCAGCCACAGTCAAGAACTAAAAAGACAAATCCCATCCAAAAACTCTTGGTTGACTCAAATTCTTCATCCGTAATTCAAATATTTTCATGGGGACCAGAGAAGCTCCCTTGAAATGACTAGCTGGCAGCACCCATTCAGCAATAGTTTTTCTTCTTTTCTTCCCCTATTTTTCTTTCATTAAAGAGTTTAGGATGCAAACATTTTGTCAATGACAGACAGGACAGGGATGTGGAGAAAGCACAGTCAGGAAGGAAGTTGAAGGCTATTAAAAACTCATCTGTATCTATGACAAATTAATGAGAAGGCTGGAAGCTTGTTTTTAAAAACACAAGACAGTTCACTTCAAAGCCTTCTTGATTTTTTGAGGTTTTTTTTTTTTTGCAGAAGAATATGTTCCACTGTTAGCAGCTGCAACTGTTTTCTCTCCTTCTAGTTGCTGGAATTACGGGCATGCTGTTTGTTCAGAGATAAAGTAAAGAACAATTTAATGCAGACAAGAATTATTTTTTGACTACTCCGTTACTCCTTCTGGAGGCTGACTGGACAGACAGCTTCACAATATGATTTCAGTCCTCCATTAAGGAATGGTTTCTTTCTTAGTCTGTCTATGGCCATATGTCTCCAGATTTTACTTTCCTTCTATGATGAGGGCCAACTAGATTTTTATTTTAGTATGATTTTAATCTACGCTCCTCCCACAAATTCTCAGAAGTGCCTGTTACTTTAGACTCATGAATCTTAGGAGCAGTTTTTTGATAGTCTACAGTGTTGCCTCAGTATGTTGTCTACACACTGCCCCACTGCTTCTCAAGATGTATGTATCTTCTCACTTGAAATCAATTTTCTTACCATTTCTGGTTTATTTTTAGCTGTTGTAAAAGAGGCTTCTTTAGCTTTATGTGATTACCCTCCACAAACGCTAACAAGTTTCCCTTTCTCTAGCAGACTCTAGTGTTGCACTCTCTCACTTTCTCCTTGGATTCTTTCACCTTCTTTCCCAGAGTAATTCCTTCAGACATGCTGAGATAAACACTGCCAGATGTGAGATGAATGCAAATGTTTTAAGAGTTGTTTCTTTTTTCATTCTAAATATTAAATCTATATTAACCATGACTAAAAGACTTATTCAGCATATTTTATCATCAAGCTTAATATAATAAAAAGCGCAGGAGATTCAGACAGGATGTAACTATGCTGCTATCACAATAATCACCACTATGAAATGATGTTCTGTACTTCTTGACAAACAATCTCTTAAAATGGTCATTTCTGAGTGCAGCTCTACATCCAGATCAGAATGAAGTAATAAACTGAACTGACAAAGAATGATCAAATCCACACCAGAAGCACCTTCTGAAAATTAACTAACAGTTCAAAAGTGATTAAGGGATTGTGTTCATCTACTATACAACCAAAGAAGAGGACAAAGAGCATGAAAACTAGCAACCTTTCTGCTTTTTCTATTTGCTTACTTAAAATAATCAAGATGTGAAAGAAATAGAGCTCAGATATTTATATGGAAATGTGGAATCACTTCACCATTACTACCTTCCACACCCACTTGGATACCTGGCGGTATTAACCTACCTCTTTTTGATAACTGAGCACCAACATGCAGAAGAAGCAATACTCTTAAGGGAAAAAACACTGAGTTATGAGTGGTGGACAGTATTTGTTTAATAATGAATGCTATCAAGGCATGTGAAGCAAGCCTAAAAATTCGCAAGTGAAATACTTTACAATAAAAATTAACAGAATGAATTAGAGTCAATAGTGTGTCATAGTCATGAAACCCTTTGCATTTAAAATTCTCAATTATTTTATTTATTTATATTTTTTTATGTTTATAACCCATTTAAATCAGAGAGGAGATCAGTGGCAGGTTCAAAACCACATTTAATTCCACGGATGCCCTGACTTCCCAGTGACAAAAGGAAGTACTAATATTTTACTAAAATAAACATTCCAGACTATCAATCTATTCTGCCTTTTTTTTTAAAAGAAGTGCAGATATATCTACAGTACAGAAACATACTATTTTGTATCTGGAGTAACGCGTTCCTTAGTTGGAACAGTAGGGTAAAAAACAAAAGGAAGGAGCTTCATTCAGTTGTGCTGTTTGGCAGTTCTCACTATTTGTTTAATATCAGGCCATCATGCAATACCCTTACTGTCTTTGGGCACTCTGAATCAGACAATCTGGAGAGCTTTCCCACTAAAAGACTGCTAGAGTTTTACTACTAGGTATCTTCAAGAAATTAGAATTCCTAACTTTGAATAAATTATTTAACAAATTAAATGAAGAACAGATGTGTGCGTCAGATATTCTTAATTAGATCCCTTAGCAAAGAATGAGGCAATCCACAATTCTAATTTTAAAACCAAACCAGCGTTTCACTGAACATCTTCTCTTCAATATAACCACGGTTTCTACATAATTTAGTTACACGCATTTTGAAATTAAACAGTAAATGACTCCAACAAAAAGAAACAAAAAAAAGAAATATTGGTGGAGTGGAGGAAGGGCTTTCTGATTCAATTTACCTCACAAAGTAGTAAGTCAATGATGTGGAAGACCATGCAGAGTGGAAACTTGGCAGTAAAAAGAGTGAGGAACCACTGGGATGCATACATATGAGCTTCCAAATTGAGGTCTGAGAAATGGCTATACAAGTCTGGTAACTGCTCCTAGAGTAAAGGAAAAAATAAATGCTTCAGTATTACTCATTAATCCGAGTTCTTTATCTACACTGCCAGTAAGTGCCAGGTTGCTAAACACTGAAAAACACAACAAAGTGAAATCCTGGCTGCTGTCGAGCAATGGAAGTATGTTTCTTCAAAATTTCAGTGCCCATGGTTACAGTTTTTAGTAAGATATCCACTGTGGATTCTATCACAGTATCAAATAATGTACTGAGATTATACTGAGAAATTACAAAATCCTCAACAGTCAAAAGGCAGAGCCATTGTAAAATCTATGTCATGCACAGTGTGTATTTTTAAGTTGTTCCTTTGCTGTGTCTTGCTATAAATGCTTCTGCTATAAAAACCAATGGATACTAGAACAAGGAGATCACCTTGCAGAGCTGGAAAGCAACAAAGCCCACAACTCCATCAGACAATTTCTCTAACTAGGAGCATATATTAGCAACACAAAATAAGCACTGATAATCCTACTGTACACTGATGATATATTCATATTCAGTTAATAAAGCAAAAATCTTTGTTAAGATATTTAAATACTGAGAAGACCATATGCTGAAGTTAAGTATCAGATCAATTAGTCTGCAATTCTACTTCATCAAGTAGGAAATACGTGCAATTTGACATCTGAAAAAAAAAGATCATTAAATTAACTGTGGTCTGTTTTGTTTGGTTTTAATATATCTCTCAGAGGTGTATATGGTCATCTATGGTAACTGACTCCAGCAGCTAGCTTTCAATATGTTAATAGAAGCACAGGTCAAAGCTTAATGGATTGTTAGTAACTGCTTATTAGTCAGAACAACAACGTGTAAACTTGCAGCCGTTTATGTAAGTTAAATTGCTCTGACTATGAAATAATTCCATCTGAAAAAAGAGCAACATATTGAAAACACAGTAAAATCTACAAAATGACCTACACTGGATTCGTATTTCATAAGCATCAGGATGTCCTGATTTGCCTGACCTCTTAACCATCAACATAACTCATAGAAAGTAGGACACTGATGGTGGCAGTCCAAAAGATATTCTGGCCTTAATAGAACAGAGACATTCTCTCTAAGCAACATCACAAAATAGGGAAGAGAGAGAGTAAGCAAACAGAGAGATAAAAAAACCAGATACCTACTCTGCTCAGATTAGCAGCAAGATTGGTATATGAAAGACAAAAGAAATGAGAAATAAATCTGACTCACGATGTTTGGATCCAGATATTAAACTTCCCTGCTTTGGTTCTACCCCACCTCTAAAAGGAAAGGGTTTTTATTGTCCAGTAGCTTATGGAAGCAAAGCGTTAATCTCTTCTTCATGCCAGTATTTCCATTTATGAAAGTAAAGAATTTGTTACCCTGGGCCCACCTGCATTAACTTCTCCAGCTGGAAAAATTTGCAATGGAGATCTTCAAAGTTATTTCTGTAGAGGTCCCTCAAGCCATAGTCATACATTATTTTCACAAATACACAGAATGCCTGCTCCTCCGGCATCTGTTTGGAAAAATACACAAACATAATTTTAAAAACAGAGCTGAGGCTGGAAATTCCTTATACAAATACACACACTTAAATACTTTATGCATGATGAATTCAGAACCAGGGATATATTAAAATTTTCAGCAAAGCACTCTGAATGTAGAATTACACAACTAAAATCTCAAGGGGACTATTTTCCTTGACCAGCACCTTGATTTGGCTCTGTAACACCTTCTTTGAAGAAAACATGGGATCGTATCATAGGTTCATGTAAGGATACATCCCTACAGCAGCACAACTGTCATCAGAATTCTTTCTGCCAAATAGATATGAGAACACCAGTACACAACTCTCAGCTACAGAACAACAATTTAAAAAAAAAAAAAAAAAAAGAAAGAAAGAAAGAAAGAAAAGAAAAAGACAACAACTCATAATAGTGATTCCTACCGAGAAAAACTTGGTTAAAAGTGAAAAATTCAGGAGAACTAGGGTATAACCAAGCCTTAGTGAGAATAATGCTTATCTACTTTCATCCAAACCCCAGGACATCAAACCCTCTGAAGTCAGGTTTTCCACAATGAATAAGGAAATAACAAATTTTGCCTTCAGAACCTACTTGTGAGCTCAGGAGGGCTGATCCCGTCTATTAACATAATGACTTTTTCAGAACGCCTGTCTCCATAATCTCTGTTTCATTTTGACCAAAATTTCTCATCCAACAGAGTTTTAGAGGGCGATACTAAAGGACAAGCCGTGTGAGCCACTCTAAAGTTACATTTGTTGGCTTGAGCCCACTGAACGTCAAATTTGCGGGAAGCCTTGTGTTATGAAACTCCCACTGATAAGAGATCTCCCCCACCTCCCCCATGCCTTCAGGTGACACAACAATAAGACAGGCACAAGCAGAGCCACTGCAGACCCCAAATCGGGTTTTCAATCACATTTAAAAACAACCTTTCTTTTGCAGGCACCAGATTGTAAAAAATGAAAACAATTATTGAGTATCAAGAATGACAACTCTTGACCTTTTAGTATATTCACTCATTCAGCCTCTTGCCAACCCCTTATCAAATATCAGCAATAGATGAAAGCTCAGTATTTTCTTCAAAGAGAATTTTAGTCTCTTGATATTTACCTCCAGAGTTTCATCTTTTATGGTTCAGCCTACGATTATGGCCTGTCTCCAGGGCCATGGGCAGACACTTTCATTTTCATTTTCAGACAGCGTATGTGAAAGTAACTAGTTAGCATAAAGAACTGCCAGATCAGCTGCTAGCTACCTGTCCAGGCTAGATTTGCCTAGGACAAGCTCTTAGGAATCAGAAGGCTCTTTATTACAATTTTATCTGGACAGAATGATCCCCACTGACAGCAGATAAAAGCTGCAGACAAAGTAAAGGGAAGAAAGAGTTTTATCCTGACCAAAAGCCTTGAATTTGCTCTATAATAAGAGGAATGCAAATTTCTCTTTTTTTTTGTAAGGTAACAATTATTTCTAATAAAATGACAGATGTTCATGCACAAGCACACCTACCTTGCATGCTCAGTCAGACACACGTGCGTTGACAATTATTCCTCCCCCGAGACAGGGAGAGGGAACAGAGGTGAATACTAGGCCAAAGTCGTTTACAGGCAAAGGCCACCAAGTCCTCGCTCGCAGTGCATGGAGGTTCTCCAGTATTACCAACCCCAAGAATTCAAAACCATAAATCAAGTTTTCATTTCTTATTTATTTTAAACAAAACACACGTTTTTGGCACTTCCATTCTGATTTTTAGCATTTAGATATTTGCCCTTTATTATCTTTTGTTTGTAATCACAAAAGCCAGAAATTCACCGTTTTTCAGAATTTAATTTTAGTTTTTCACATAGCAATGACTCCAAGAGGTAGACAGTAAGAAAAAAACGTCAAATACTGTGACACTTGGAGTAAAACGATTAGAGTTGGCAACACTGTCCCCCTGTGATTAGAAGTTACCTGCTCACCTTTGATGGGAATTTCATCAAAGCAGCAAAATCACAAAAAGCCAGGATGGAGGTTCAGGCTACCCAACCATCCCTGAAACGTATCTACCCTGAAGAGAAACGATATCCTGCCCCAGAAAAAAAGGGAAAGGAAGGGGTCTAGAAATCCATGCAAAGATAGAAGAGTTAGAGAGGGTCTTACAAGCATTCACAGCATACAGATTGGTTGGAGAATTCGAGAAAACAAGAGTTTGAGGACATCCTGGGAAGCTCCCAACTTACATGAGCTCATTGAGACTGCTTCCCTTCCCCCCTTTCTCTGATTATTTCAGTTTAATATCCTATTATGAAAGCAAATGTTATAAAGGGCATATTAAAATGAGTGTAATTGCCATTTAGTATTCCCTGTGTACAAGGCAATTTCTTCTAACTCCAGAAACACTAGAAACAGGTGATTCTCTACAGTAATGACAGCATACAACTAAGTGAGAGGAGCTGAAGTATTAGTCAACTGTTAGGAATGTGACACCCCCTCATTTCTAAACAACTCCGGTATTGAAAACGGCTTATTCTTCCAGTGGAACTTAAAAATCCTTCTTTGGATAAAAAGTTAATTGCAAATTAACTGTTAGATAAGCTAATTTGCAGTATTTGCGGGATTGCAATAATGTGACTAATTTCGGGTTTGTCCTTAAAAGACTCTAAAGCTTCTCTGTAACACTGCCACTGTGTATCACGCTCCTTAAGTCTTTAAGGAGTCATAGATCTCACTAGAATTACAACTTAAATTAATCTGAATTTGAGTTCTAGATGCCTTTAGGAAGTGCATGTGTAACATATATACCACCAACAGCTGACTCAAAACCACAATCTGAAATGTATTTCAACCATGATTAATAATTTATTAACTAAAGCCTGACAGAAAAAGCAAGCAAGAGCCCGAGTAAGAGTTGTTGGGGTTTTGGGTGGTTTATTCAGATATTCTTTACAATACCCATACTACTTGAATCTGCGGCTTTTCCACCGATACATCAAAGTTACAGCATCTTGCAAATATAAAAATGGTGTATTTATCTATCTACCTCTATACATACACGTATGTGTATATATAGGAAGCAACAGATCAAAGTTTGTACAGTTTTTGGTTACAGGCTAAAATATCAAGGTTAAAATTCAGCTTTCACTCAAAAGATTATAAAATCTCCCTAGGAGAAAAAGTCTCACTGAAAATTAATGAGACTGCTTGTTCTGGTTAGCTACTCTGAGAATATCTCTGAAAGTTAAATTCCCCATAAACACAAAGGGAGTTCACCTACGTGACAACTAAATTGAAAGAAAATATTAATATATAACAAATCAGTTTCAGGTTTTGACACAGAAGTACTTGACAATTTAATAGATTTCTCCTAGATAAAGGAAATCTACATTCATAAAGATAGAAGCCATTAGTCACTATTTGCCAAAAAGCAACAAGAGGAAAATGAATACAGACAAATAAACAACAGTAAATATCGTCAAATAGCATGTTACAGTACTACTGATTTTAAAGCTGCTTTGGTTTCAAATATCAAAGCTTTCATTTTGCAATTAACTCACATGAAGTAGAAGCACAGCTGCAAGGAAAGACTGTCCCTGGCAATAGCCAATGTCTTCATCATAGACAGAGTATGCCTAGAAAAAATAAAAGCCAACATATTTTTGAAATGCACGCAGGCATTATCAAAATGTGTAATAATCAGAATATGTAATACTATGCAGGCTAAAATTATAAAGGGAGTGAAATTGTAACCATTCTTAGGCTTTCAGGGCACTTAAGAAAACATCATCACCCTCAATCTTCCATAGATGCTGTATTTGTAAATTTTTTTTTTTTTTTTTCCGAACAGCATGAAAAGAGTTGGATGCAATTTCCCTTCACCTAAATCAAGAATAATTCTGCTGAGGTCAATAATGATATAACTTTAACGATATAACAAATATGATATAAATACCAGGTTAGCATGTGTTGCAGGGAGAGTGCTTGTTTGTTTTTGGAAAAACAACTTCTGACATCACGAAAGTATAGGACCTGAGGTTGGTTGTCAGAAAACCACCGAGAACTACTCTAGCCTGAAAATTTCATCAGAAACAGTTTTTCCATGTCCTTGTTTTGCTGAAGAATGAACAAGACTCATTTTCCTATGGTATGACTGACATACTACTTTTTTCCTACTCTTAAAAAAACAAAACTAAAATAACCAACCTTTCCTTCCCCCTTACTTTTCCGAGACAAGAAGACAGATACTGTTTTTAAAGAGATGTCAGAGGATGTTAAGAATTTGAGGAAACTTGAGAAAGTTTAAGCAGCAGCAGCAGGATTGACATCGGAGAGAGAGACATCCTGAGAGAATAAGCAAGGTACTACAGCCAGGGAAAAAAAAAAGCACAAGGTCAGAGCTATGGAGAGGAACAAGCCACATGAATCAGAAAATACTCTTTGCCCCCACACCGCCTCCAAGACTGTTTACAGATGAGAATGTTTCGAACTGGAACACCATGCTTATCTTCTTTTTTTTTAAGTTTTGAATGAAATCAAGATTGCAAGTTCACTGAATGGAAGCACAGAGACACTGTGAATAAGCAGTGTCAGGTATGCTGGGGAACCAAACCCACCTGGGTCTATCGTACAATGTTCATAGGTGGCTAAGCTGCCTCTTCAAAAGGTAAGAATTGTGACTCAAAAAGAGACGTGACTCCTTTCCAACCAATGGTATTAACATAATTGCAAATAATTTCTGCCAGAAATGTTGAAATGGAGGCCAAAACATATTTAAAGTCTTTAAACCACCTTTCCTTTTTCATTCTGATGGGCAAAAACTAAGAAAGAAATATTTATAAGGAATTCTGTAATGATTCCAGAAGAAAAGACTGCCGTAAAGAATATAACCTGAGTATTCCTTTAAAGGTCACCGCTTATAAACAACTCATCCATACATTTCCTAATACATTGGTAGCTTTGTGAAAAACTGAACTGTGACTTACAGCTCTTTGCCATTTGTCTATATTGCTCACCATTCTTTTGAAGTATGTTAGATGGGATTAGTTAGAATCTGAGTGAAAATGATCCCAATCCATTCCTCAGCTTCAGCGGTCAAGCAAATACAAGACGACCAGTCACATAAATTATTGGAAAAAAGTTAATGAACCATTACAATCTGCTTACTAGTTTAAACCAGCTCTAGCCACAAAAGTAAAAAATAAAAAATAACTCCAGAAGCGTACAATAGCAGATACAAAACTTTGAATTGGAAAAAAAGGATGCTTTCTTGGAAAAAGTTAATTTAAAATTACTCTTTAGCTACTAAGCACTGAATTAACAGAAATTACTTTCAACACTTAAATTAATACTGCATATGACTAATTAGAACCATCCACTGGTTAATCATCGTCATCATCATGAGTCTGTATCTATTTGTTCCCAAAATCTATCAGTTTATGGATGCCTAATATTTTATTTCTGTAGCATTCATAAAAGCTGTATTATTTCTGCTTTTGAAAGGCCAGCTCCACTTAGAAACAGATATGCAGAATTACAAATAATAAATTTGATTTATGATTTCTTCATGCTACATAACAACACTTTTACTTTACTTAAAGAGAAATCCAGGCTGAAAAATTAATAGCAAATTATCAACACGTGGGGGTTCTCTCTTGTGAGAAGCATTAGTAGCACAATAGCTAATAATTTGCTGAAAACAGCAATAAATTAATCCAAACAAATTTTAAAATAACTATTGAGAAACCAACACACTGGAATAAACAAACTGCCTCCAAAACTAACATAGATTAAAAAGTAAAGAAAGTTATCAGAAATAAAAAGATACTCCTTCCGAGATTGTGAAAGAAGTCGAAATTATGGCAAAACAGGGAAAACAGGGAGGGTACAAAAAAATCCTCACTCTGCATGTTAAATATAAAAATATGAAGGAAGACCAAGAAATGTTCTCATAAGTAACTTCCTAAACACATTAAAACTAATAATAAATCCATTTCAAACACATCCAGAGCAGGAAGGCAAAGCCTCTAGCTGGAAAATATATGATCAAGGTAGAAAAGTTGTATTTAAACTATAGCAGAAAATCCACATGAACTTTCCTTGTGTCTGTTTTATTACAGAAGAATCACAGGAGTTGTCATCCTACTGGAACCATTTCTAACAGGGGATGTGTTGAAGGATCTGTCTCCAAGTGAGTATCAGAAGAGATGATAAATTAAAAGGAGTAAAAATACTAAAAATTTATTAAGAACAGACAGTATTCACCCAAAAAACGGGGGTGGGGGGTGGGGGAGTAAACTGGTAAACCATTAATTGGCTGATTAAATCACAAGAATAGATGACAAATTTGAAACATTTGTAAAAAGAGGTGATCCACAGAACTACAAATCAATAAGTCCTGGATAATTTGGTTAAAAAAAAAACATTTCAAATTAATTAGTGGACACAGATATACATAGGATATATACGAGAAAAATGTCTGAGGGCCCCAGTAAAAGGATGTCATCATTAACCAATCTTTGAAGCAATCAACAACTACAAAAAAAAAAAATTAACTGCTTGATCTGCTTGCTTTTTGAAATTAATTTCCACTAGGTCCTTCCCCAAAATCTGATCTTCACAAGCAGCTGTTAGCAGATACTTAGATACTAACTTCAGTTCTGCATGAGAATTAGATCAAACTGAGAAAGATTCTGCTGTTAAGTCAAAGCATCATAATCCTGGCAACTAAAGATATATTTTTTAATGAAGTCTCTAAAATCTACATGATTTCATTGTATTTGCCCAAAGCAAAGAGATTTTTAAAGCTTTATGCATATTACATTTCCAATTACAATTTTAGCTTTAAGTAACCTATGGGACTTGATATTGCTGAAATATGATGTAATTAACCAAAATAGCATCAAAAATAAGAATGCTGCCTACAGATACCACCATAATATTGTATTATCATAGAATCATAGGATAGTTTGGTTTGGAAGGGACCTTAAAGATCATCTAGTTCCAACCCCCCTGCCATGGGTAGGGACATCTTTCACTAGACCAGGTTGCTCAAAGCCCCATCCAACCTGGCCTTGAACACTTCCAGGCATG